TATTACCTTCTTGTAACACCTCTATTCTTCGGCACATATATATCACCTAATTGTGTTGCAAGTGCCGTAAAACGCTTACTGAAACAAAAAACAAAAAAACTATTTCTCTTCTTCATTTCCCAGGTGGACGAAGCCCTAGCTTTTGACATCGGCCGCATCGTGACGCTGGCTCTGGAGGCAGTCCCCAACGTACAGAATATCGTGAAGGTCAGCTGCGACAACGGCACAGACCCCACGCCAGCCAGCCTTAAGCAGAGTGCAGAGCTCACCAATGAACTGACCGTGGTAACACGCCGTGTCTGTGACTCTTGTTTTGCTGTTGTTGGTTCTGTATTAATTGTTTGTTTGGTGAATGCTCATCTTCATTGCTTTTCTCACCCTAAGTCGGGGTATAGGGCACGAACAAGCACTTTCCATCTTTCCCTATCCTGGGCTAACCTCTTGATGTTATTGGTGGATACTAATCAATAATAAATATGATATGGAAAGCACTATTCCCAGTGACACTGGGGATAGGCCCAGAAACTATTCCCAGTGGCCCAGAAACTACTGGCAATAGGGTCTAGGGCAGCTGGGAATAGGTCCAGAAACTATTCCCAGTGACAATGAGAACAGACAGGCCCATTAGATCTATTGTTTCTACACTTATCTAAATGGGCATGATGGTGATGGGTTACTAAATACTAGACTATATCTAATGTAGATCTAGATTCTAGATCTAACTAAACTAAAGTATATTCTGGTGTAAGTGGAAAAAAATTTTATAAAAAGAAAAAGGAATGATCATTTTATGCTTGCGTGTTATTCAGTCGTAATTTAAAAGTATCTGTAGATCTAGATCTAGATCTATTGAGAACAGACAGACCCATTAGATATGTTGTTCCCACACTGATCTACATGGGCATGATGCTGATGGGTTACTAAATACTAGACTATATCTAAAGCAGATCTAGATCTAGATTCTAGATCTAACTAAACTAAAGTAGATTCTGATGTGAGTGGACGAGTATTTTTTTTTATAGGAAAAGGAATTATCATTCTATGCTTGCCTGTTATTCAGTCGTAATTCATGTACGTTTAGATCTAGATCTACTTACGGATTTTGGAGACCACAGTACAGGACAGGTAGAAATCCTTCCCCATTATTCTTTCTTCTAGATCTAGATCTAGTTCTAGTTCTAGATCTAGATCAGGATTTATTCTACGGTCAAGTCTAAGCCCTAAGTAAGAGAAGAGAACAAAAGTAGGCTGGACTGAAGAGAGAAGAGAGTCTACAAGGCAAAGACTTCTGATCTTTTTATGCAAATGAGTTCCGTTGTCACTGGGAATAATTTCTGTACCTATCCCCAGTGTCACTGGGAATAGTCACTTCAATATGATATATACCACTTATATAGCGAATATAACTATAACTTCACCCATCAGCAAATTCTAGGTGTTTTTGTCATTTTTTAAAAGTTAGAGCCCTATATACATACATAATTTGTCATATAGGGCGGTTCACCTGGCAGTGTTTTAGAGTAAAGTACAAAACAACAGAACTTTAAAAAATACACAAAGAGCATCAGAGTAAATATGACAGATTAGGATAATGATAGTATAACAACTGTCTCGGTAAGGGGGGGGGGGGGGCTGCTGCCAGTCTACAATAAGTGTGAGTATATCCCAAGGGATATGTCATACTAAAATTCACCGTAAAACGCCATAAAATACCACGCCACAGCATGTTATACCATACCAATACAATACTGCTCTGCACCATAATATAGAACATATAGGGTACTTTAACTTGGCGACCACCTTCAAATTTAATCCAATATCGTAAATACGAATTGTTGTTGGGGGGAAGGGGGTCGCCATAAAAGACACGGTCTCGGCCTGTCAGAAGTCAGGCTGCATGGACTGTGCCTGCCAGGTCAAGAAGAGTCCCTCGGGACACTAATCAGCAATAGAGTGGAATTAAACGACGCCCTTGTCATGGAAATAGAACTCGTGCCTTTTGAGTGCTGAGCAGAGAGATT